CATTTCTATTTTACTAGCTGTTGCCCGCAACTACGTCCGCGTGGAATAGGGTGCAAACGAAAAAAATTAAAGAGCGCATAAAGAGGGCTAGGCCCCTTGGCAGTGCGTAGCTTTGACCGTAGTCGCGCAAGTCAATGCGTGTAAACGTCATACAAGCCGACGACAAATCCAGTCTTCGTGAATGTACGTCAATACGGTTTTGGGCATGTGTTGATAATCAGGCACTCTGACCCTATGATATAATAAGCCGTCCGTAAGCGCCACCACTTTTGCCAGACCGCCGCGACTGCAGACATGATTGTTAGTGTTTTGGCATCACCACCAATTACAAGGTTAGTACGACATTTCGTCGCAGAGCGCGTTATGAGTCACTGCTCACACCAAGGGTATGGTTAAAACGTTGCACGGCATCGCCGCAGCCTTGGAGGTTTTCTCCCACCAGCTACCATCCACATGAGGTAAACGCATATGCTCCACCAACCATTGCAATAGTCAGATATAGCCATAGTTGTGATTTTTATGTTTAGCCATCAGAAGGGTTTATAATTGGCAACATATATTTATTTGTCAGTGTCTCTGACGTTGAGTATAATGTATTTTCGATCAAGTTTGTCTCACCCACCAGCAAGTTGCCATTATTCGGTCGAACGGTGGGAACTTTACTGAGATTCGTTAATAATGTTAAAACGTATACAGGAGGTCAGACAGTCTGCAGTTCCCTCATCAGGAACCCGACTTGGAAAATCTACTGAGATGTGCATCAAACCGAGACGCAGACTCGGCCATTATGAATAGCGTCGTCTCCAAAGCAAATGTCGCAAGACGCAATGTCAATAAATGCAACATGCTTCAATACAACTATCGCAGGTCAACACGCCAACATACAGCCTATCCGCATACACAGCAGACATAATCACCTCGAACCTCCGTCAACCAGAATCATACGATGCAATGATATTAGGCGCAGATCACCCCGCAACTACCACAAGACGCATTACTGCATATAGCCGCACGCATCATTGTGACTATCGCGTAGGTGGCACACCCTCACACCACACCAATATAACTCCAATCAACTTCGGCTCCAAAGTTTAGAATATACTCGGAACACCCGAAGTGTCCAAACATACTCTTTCACGATCCGAATGATAGTCGACGTATCATAGCGTAAACACTAAGACGCAAACCACCAACGGACCCCCACCACCCCAGTCAAGTAATAACCAACGTATCATAGTGGAATACACTAAGACGCAAACCACTACCAGACTCGCCAAAATCAGATGATCAGTCGACGTATCATAGTGCAACACACAAAGACGCCAACTACCACCAAACTCTTACTATGCCGAATGACTGCTAACGTATCATAGTGATGGTCACTAAGACGCCAAGTATCATCAGGTATCGATGATATGTCCACCACTGAAGACATATCCATTCATGGTTCCACTTTTACCGTAGACCAGGGGTTAACAACCTTTTTTATCAATGGGCCAATTTAAATTTCAAATTTTTTGGCGAGCCGCACATAATAAATTACGATACTTTATTTATAATAAATATTAGAATAAAAAAATGTAAAATAAAAAAAGTAAAGATTTCATAATATACAAATATAATATACAAATCCGGAATAACACGTCAAAACACACCCCCTTTAATAGCTATGTCGTAACTTCCGCCGCCATTTTGTTCCCCCACCATTGCACAGAGCTCAGCAGCCATGCGCCGTAGGCGCGCTAGCTTCATTGGAACTCATTGTTTTTATTGTATACCGTCCATTGGATATGGATGGTATATTCGGTTAGCCACAGTATGAGATGTACTGGTGGCAAATTAAACCACAGTATGGTATGACTGGTGGTAGTAAGGATACATATAACATTCACAGACTAATACTGCATGTTGACTCTTAACAATCTGAAAGATAGCTTATTAAACTAAGATTGTAGTTAGATAAATGATTACTTACAATGAAATCTTCCTGAAAGGTAAAAGATTGTAATTATAAGCAGACAGCAATAAAAACTAGGCTTGGAATAGGGTAAATCGCTTAATTTAAATTTTATTTTTAGGTAAAATTTTACAATTAAGCTTTTGTACCCTATTCCAAGCCTTAATAATGAGAAGTGTTTGTTATCGGCTGCTGAAGAGAAAACGCCAATGTGAAGTAAATAAAACTATATTAAGTTTGACCTTTATACGATGTTTATTTTATACCAAACTTATTTACAAATAAATTCGAATCAACAAAAAATTAAACGGGATTAAAACAGTTTAACAACTCGGTACCATTATTTCTACTCGACTTAACTTCCTTTTTATAAAACCTATGGAACGTAGACGCATTTTTCCAATTTCCTCGAAACAAAATATCGTCAATATTATGATTTTCAAGCCAGCTGTAAGATGCGACCGCTGACCGAACACTTCCTGGAGAGTTATCGATTGCAGCTTCTTTTAAAACAGATTTAATCCAGCCACCTATAATGGTGCGAGAAGCCGGTTTTACATTCCCTACTGATGTGATAAATAAATTATTGCAATCACCCCGCCTGATTTGGGATACTTCAATCAATTTCTGGACCCAATATACCGGATCGATATTTCTATTAGATGGATACGAAATTAGCCTCCATCCTGATTGTCGATGACTGGCACTGTCAGTTTTGGAACCAAAATCTGGCCAAAACAGAATAGATTCGTCTTCAATTACACAAGAAGAATCGCATATCTTCAAAAGAGTTAAATCATGAACTCGACGTCCTGAGCACAATAGAAGCAGAATGGCACATCTTTTGGAAGTTTCAAATAAGGACTCACTAATCGGACTATTAGTTTCCAAAAAATTGCACAAATCTTTGACATCCCAAATAGGAGCCTTGTGGGGTCTAGGTTTACACAAGGATATTGCCTTAAGGGTTTGTCTAACAATGACATGATTACTTAATGGGGGATTTTTAGGACAGAAGGTTGAAACTACCGATCTGTGAAGACAGATTGAGCTGTATGACAACTTGGTCTTTTGGTGCAAGTCAGCAAGGAATCGTGCCAAATCAGAAGGACTAGGGTCTGTTCTTGAAACTTCGTTAGACGAGGCCCAAGAACACCACCTTGTCCAAGCAGGTCTATATGAAGAAAGGGTCGATTTTCGCCAACTACCTAACAAAAGACCTTTTTGACTTTCGTCCCATGAACCAAGCATTGAGCTCCACCCCGTATCTGCCAAACCTCCAAAATCATTTGCTTGGCACCCGGGGGAGGCATCTGAGTTCGCACATCCACCAACGCTCCCTGTACGTCTTGAATCTCTATTGGAGGGGAGAGAGACCTTGCCATCAAGTCGCTGCGCCAGAATACCTTGGTCCATTTCGGAACAACCATCAGAAACACTCCTTTGCATTTGTTCAGATGTCTTAAGACCCGAGGAACTATGTACGGTGGTGGAAACAGCCATGCGATCCGGTAATTCCACAGGCGACTGAACGCATTGATGAAGACTGCTTGAGTATCGAATGGATCCATTGTTACATACGACGGGACTACATGGGCCTGATTTGATGCGAACAGAGATCTGTTGAGGAGTTCCCCAATGTTGAAAAATCTGATGAGTCATCAGATCTCGCAGATGCCATTCCGAATTGGCTTGCAATCTGGATAGACCGTCGGCTTCCACGTTGTAACGGCCGGGGAGGTAATTTATTGACATGGGGATATGGTACCGATCCAACAACCTTAAAACTCGCACCGTGATATTCATTAGCGGTAAAGACCTGGTTCCTCCCTCGTTCAGGAGATAAGAAACCACTGTGCGATTGTCCGACAAGATCTGTAGTGACGAGTTCATGATGGACCGAGCATGTAGGTTCAGAACTTTTTCTATCGCCATCATCTCTAGAATGTTGGAGTGAAACTCTTTTTCGTGACTCTGCCACGTGCCTGACATTTTCAAATCGTTTAATACTGCTCCCCAACCGTGAACTGACGCGTCGGTTGTTAGCAACATCTCCGGGGCAGGGTAATGAAGGAGAGAGTGTTTGTGGGCGTGAGCTAACCACCATCTCATCACCATCAATACTTGGTCGGGAATTGGGAATTCCGTCCATGGGTTCTGTCTCAACAACTGATGGCAGTGTGACAGTATTGGGCGAGAGTTTAATCGACCCCTGGGGACTACAAAGCTGGCGAAGTTGCACAGGCCTAGATAACATTGTATTTGTCGTAACGAAGCCATCCTCCTCGATAAGAGGATTCTGGATTTCGCTAACAGCTTCTCGACTTTGTTCAATGGAAGATTCTTCCTGTTTGTCCAGGGACTCCATTGCACGCCTAGAAATTCTAAAGACCTTTGTGGTTCCAGAACGGATTTCTCGAAATTGATTGTTAGTTCTAATTCTCTGAACAGACTGACAGTGAATTCCATCTGTTGGATCAGTACTTTCCTGTCCTGATGTACGAGACAAAAATCGTCGAGATAAACTAGGAGTCTTAATCCTTGGGCTCTGAGAATCTCGGCGACCCAGTTTGTAAGGGTTGCAAAGATTTTTGGTGCCGTCGATAAACCGAACGGTAGGCACGTTATTTGCCATAGATGATGGCGAAAAATCACCCGTAGGAAACACCGATGGTGAGACGAAATTGGCACGTGAAATATGCACTGTGGAGGTCTAGTTTTATCATCCAATCGTTCGTCTGGAGAAAATCCGGGACTATGAACATGTTCGTTAGACGGAATTTTTCTGTACACACAAATTCGTTTAGGCGCTTCAAATTGAAAACAGGACGCAATTTCCAGTCCGCCTTTGGAACCAAAAATATGTTTTAAACAAAACTTGGAGTTAGTGGCACTGGCTCCAAAACCCCCTGTGCCACCAATTTCCGAAATTCGATTCTTACCTCCGGTGAATCTCGAGTGTGAAACCTGCTCGGGATTCGACGCGGATGTACTAATGGTGGATTTTTGAGAAAGGGTATTTTGTATCCTGATATAATTTTTAGAACATGGTCGGGTGCTCCCCACTTTCTCCATCGATCGACAAAATGACGGAGTTGTCCGGCCTGAAAGGTCGGATAGTCAATCGTAACGTCTTTGGGAGCGCCGTCCCTGGCTATTTTTGTAATATTTATCGCTCTGGGAGTTACGAAAGTTGTCCGACTTACGTTTTCGACCTTGCGATAACGGTGCGTTGGAGCTGGTCGCAGGCGCTGTTGGAGCTCGGGAACGCGCCTTCGAAGAGTATACTCTTCTCTGCTCTATATGATGTACTCTTTGCGCAAGAGTTGTCTTAGTGGCACATCCTTGCGCAGGATTGCTTGCTGTCAGCATGAACACTTTCTCTACACCGCCATTCTTCGATATACAGTCTTAAAACCGATCATCATTAAACAAATGGTTGATAGTAGGAGGAATCTTTCTGAGACTCTCTTTAATGCCTTTGTCCTTAACATAATTAAGAACGCAATCACGCCGCTCTGTATTACGTCTGCACGCCGACCACAAACCATTTGTAAAAGATCCAAAATGCGTTTGATTGTATTCGTCGGAAAAAATCTCATGTATTTTATTCAAAACATCGTCAGTGGTCAAAGACTGAGTAGAACCCAGCCATGAAAGTAATTTCTGAAGGCCTTCAAGTAATTTTTCATTTTGAATAATTAAGCTATGTGAAACGGCGACCAGAGTTTTTTCTGTTGCAGCTAATGTTTTATTGCGATCAAACATTTTAAGCATATCGTTGCTTTCCAGCTCTAAAAAACCTGGACTAGACACGTATTGTTTTTGAATTTCTGCATACCTAACCTGTGACCAATCAATCGTGTCAAAGTGTTGTAACTTGCACAAAGTTTCTGCATGAGAGGTAGAAGTTTTCGGAATTGTCGATTTGAGGGTAGTTTCCTGCTTGAAATCAAAACTATGGAGCACGGGCTGACTACCTTCAGTTTTATCGTGGCTAAAAGAAGCCTCCGAATCGTCGGGGACCAAGATAGACAGCGCGTCAGAATCACTATTCTCGTGCATTTTAGGAACAGAATGTATTGACTGACCTTTTACTATAGTACTTACGGTGGCAGTAAGATTGTCTACTGCCTTTTCCAAACGCTTCATACGCTTATCATTTCTGCATTTGCGGCGGCGATTCTTCCTATGATGATGTGCAGCACTCGAAGACGCGGATGACGAGGCACTAGATGTACTTGACGCACGTCTGGACTTCGCGAGGGCATGAAAACTCAACGGCACACCGGAGCCGGAATTTTCTTCCATTTTTTTAAAATTTGAAGCACTTTCTTCAAATTGTCCGTGTTACTCGGACGAGTCAAAGAACGCCAATGAAGCTAGCGCGCCTACGGCGCATAGCTGCTGAGCTCTGTGCAATGGTGGGGGAACAAAATGGCGGCGGAAGTTACGACATAGCTATTAAAGGGGGTGTGTTTTGAAGTGTTATTCCGGAAGTCGAGGTATGCTCTCTCATTGTTAAGGCTTGGAATAGGGTACAAAAGCTTAATATAATTAATTTTATAACAAAATATTGATGGGAGAAATTCGATAAAATAAATTAAATTTTAGAAATGCTTGGCGGGCCGCATAAACATGGTTAAGGGGCCTCAAGCAGCCCGCGGGCCGCGCGTTGCTCATCCTTGCTGTAGACCATATCGTACAGAAGTACCACGCAACTCTATAGTAATATCTCTTATAAAGTCCCAAGTCATTCATTGCTCTTCATTATATTTATATATTTATTATTTCTTCTCTGAGCCTTCACATATTATCACTTTTATTCATTAGACCTTACTTCCATATGATCTTGGTATGGGACGTTCATACAATGTACTTTCACCATAGTACTAAGAGTCGCGATCGACCTCTGTACTTATATATGTACGATCATACAATTGTGTCCCCGCGCGGTACATAATACTTCCCTTAGAAATCACTAAGTATGGAATTGTATTTTATTGACATAATAGTGATCGTATCTTGCTATATTTTTAATAAATTTCCTTTTTTGAGTATTTTAAATGATTTTTAACTATTTTTAATCAATTTTTGGTAATATCATTTTCTCATACTGACACTTATATTTCTTTAATTTAAGTATATATTATTAACTTTTACTGTGATTAAACGTTCTTAAACGTTTTATTTTCATCTTAATTGATCTTTATTATGATTAATTAATTATAATGCTTATTATTATTAATAGGGCGTTACAAACGCCATCTAGTTTTTTCACGGGAATTAATTTCTTATCTTCATATCGCAAATTAACTATGCTGGATTGTAATTCTATCAATTCAAGAATTTGTTAAATCAAACTTTTTATTATGAAACTGAAAATTAAAGTTATCGTGGTAAAATTTTTTATCACTCATAACACATTTTGTATGGAAGGTAATTTTTTTGTATTGGGAGCTATGTCATTTGAAAAAAATTAAAAAGTATTACAATTGATCCAGTAGCTTATAACGAATATATTCTGTTTAAGTAAACTGATTACGATCAAACGATACTTAAATATTGCGAGGAAGTTGTACTGACACGCTGTCAAAAACCCCGTAAAAATCGATCCTTTGTATTGTGAGTATTTACATAACTTTTTTTTAAGTAAACCAATTGCAATAAAACAGAGCTTTAATGTTGCACAGAATTTATCTTGAATACTTTCAAAAACACCATACAAATTAGTTCAGTAGTTGGATAACTGTGATAACTGTTGGCGACTGCACTGCTTTAATCTTAGAACTCCCATATCTCCCGTTTGAGTAAAGCGATTGAGATGAAACAAAGTCTAGATGTTGCACTAAGCTTCGCTTAAGTAATCAGTGAAAACTGCATCAAAATCCGATAAGTAGTTTCCGAGTTTATCGCGCACAGACAAACAGACAGACAGACAAAAATTCCAAAAATGGTTTTTATGTTTCCTATAACTCCTTTTGTTTATACCCTATTTCATTTTTAAACGGTTTTATTTAGCTCGACCCGTACGGAATTTGTTTGTTTATTTATTTGGGTCAAAATTAGAAATTGAAATTTAAGCACCTTGCCGTTGTCAGATTGATCTGAAATTTGGTACACACATTTAATTTAGATTAAGAAAAAAAATTTAACAAAAAAAAAAAACATAAACATAAAAAACATATAACCGTTTAACTTAAAAGTTTTTTAAAGTAATTATTTCATAACTGTATTCAATTGTAACGACCAATTAATAATAATAAATATTATTAATTAATCATAATAAAGATCAATTAAGATGAAAATAAAACGTTTAAGAACGTTTAATCACAATAAAAGTTAATAATATATACTTAAATTTCAGAAATATAAGTGTTAGTATGAGAAAATGATTTTACCAAAAATTGATAAAAAATTGTTAAAAATCACTTAAAATACTCAAAAAAAGGATATTTATTAAAAATATAGCAAGATACGATCACTATTATGTCAATTAAATACAATTCCATACTTAGTGATTTCTAAGGGAAGTATTATGTACCGTGCGGGGACACAATTGTATGATCGTACATATATAAGTACAGAGGTCGATCGCGACTCTTAGTACTATGGTGAAAGTACATTGTATGAACGTCCCATACCAAGATCATATGGAAGTAAGGTCTAATGAATAAAAGTGATAATATGTGAAGGCTCAGAGAAGAAATAATAAATATATAAATATAATGAAGAGCAATGAATGACTTGGGACTTTATAAGAGATATTACTATGGAGTTGCGTGGTACTTCTGTACGACGACATGGTCTACGGTAAACGTGGAACCATGAATGGATATGTCTTCAGTGGTGGACATATCATCGATAGCTGGTGGTAGTTGGCGTCTTGGTGGCCATCACTATGATACGTTGGCTGTCATTCGGCATAGTAAGAGTTTGGTGGTAGTGGGCGTCTTAGTGTGTTGCACTATGATACGTCGACTGATCATCTGACTTTGGGGAGTCTGGTAGTGGTTGCGTCTTAGTGTATTCCACTATGATACATTGGCTATTACTTGGCTTGGGTGGGGGTCCGTTGGTGGTTGGCGTCTTAGTGCTTACGCTATGATACGTCGACTATCATTCGGATCGTGAAAGAGTATGTTTGGACACTTCGTGTGTTCCGAGTATATTCTAAACTTTGGAGCCGATGTTGGTTGGAGTTATATTAGTGTGGTGTGAGGGTGTGCCACCTACGCGATAGTCACATTGATGCGTGCGGCTATATGCAGTAATGCGTCTTGTGGTAGTTGCGGGGTGATCTGCGCCTATTATCTAATTGCATCGTATGATTCTGGTTGACGGAGGTTCGAGGTGATGATGTCTGCTGTGTATGCGGATAGGCTGTATGTTGGCGTGTTGACCTGCGATAATTGTATTGATGCATGTTGCATTTAGTGACATTGCATCTTGCGACATTTGCTTGGAAGACGACGCTATTCATAATGGCCGAGTCTGCTTCTCGGTTTGATGCACATCTCAGTAGATTTGTCTAAGTCGGGTTCCTGATGACGGCTCTGCAGACTGTCTGACCTCTCTACGTTTTATCATTATTAACGTATCTCAGTAAAGTTCCCACCGTTCAAACGAATAATGGCAACTTGCTGGTGGGTGAGACAAACTTGATCGAAAATACATTATACTCAACGTCAGAGACACTGACAAATAATTATATGTTGCCAATTATAAACCCTTCTGATGGCTAAACATAAAAATCACAACTATGGCTATATCTGACAATTTCAATGGTTGGTGGAGCATATGCGTTTACCTCATGTGGATGGTAGCTGGCGGGAGAAAACCTCTCAAGGCTGCGGCGATGCCGTGCAACGTTTTAACCATACCCTTGGGGTGAGCAGTGACTCATAACGCGCTCTGCGACGAAATGTCGTGCTAACCTTTTTAATGGTGGTGATGCCAAAACACTAACAATCACGTCTGCAGTCGCGGCGATCTGGCAAAAGTGGTGGCGCTTACGGAGGGCTTATTATATCATAGGGCCAGAGTGCCTGATCTTTAACACATGCCCAAAACCGTATTGACGTACATTCACGAAGACTGGATTTGACGTTGACTTGTGTGACGTTTACACGCATTGACATGCGCGACTTCGGTCAAAGTTTGTGCTTACGCACTGCCAAGGGGCCAAGCCCTCTTTATGCTGGTAAAACAACTTTGCAATGGACTTCCGTCCTTTCCCCAACTTTTTGTCCCTCTTCTGGGGGGGCGCAATATGTTGGTTGGCGCTCACCGCACACGGCGTTGGTGAGTGTTTTCATGGAGCCGTGTGCCTTCCCTACATTTTTTTTTAAATGTGGGGGAGCTGTTGACTTGTATCGGGTATGTAAAATTGATGTGAGCCCTTTTCAAGAGAGAAGGGATATTAGTTTAAAAATTATATTGTGAGCCCTTTACAAGCGTGAGAGGGAGTATACTATATACTCTGAGCCCGTCTCAAGCGAGTCGGGATTAGTTGTTAAGAAAGCAATCTGACATTATCTCTGGCTTATACCACGACTAGTGAATATTTATCTATCCAAGATAAGTTACTAAATAAACACAACGTAAATGAGGTCCTACCGAATATGACGATCACAATAATATTTATACGGCTAATTATTACCTTTAGAAAGATCCTATAGAAAGATCAATAATTTATCCTGGTCACGTAATGATGTTATATGATTTATGCATATAATGGGGGAAAAAATATATAAGTTATAATTATATATATACATAATAAAGGGGGGGTGCGAGTTACACAATGTACAGACACGCCGATTCTAAAACCGTTAATACTGACTTCTTTAGAAGCATCAAGTCACTGAGAAAGTAAAGGAGAATGTTATACTTGACAAACTGAGTTTTATACTTCTTCCTTTGACTATATAACTATGTGATCCTTTTAATAGGAAAGATTAATAACTTTAACCCAAACGGTATCCACCATCGAATTAAGCTAATGCGTCTCTGCGCTGTACATTAACTGTTCATAATTAATTTACGTGGAAAAATATGGAAATTTGAAGTTATTGCTTCAGGAATGCCATTGGGAAATGTGGATTCCATTTATTTTATTGAAGTACTAATCTTTGCTACTCGCAATACGATAAATATTTCCTTTTAACATATATGCTTTATACGTATAAAGTAAATATTTTTAAAATGTTTTTTGTATTGTATTTATCATAAAATATATTAATTTTATCAGGGGTGCGCATGACATTTTTTTATGTATATGAGATGGTGATATAATAGCTATGGAAATCTGC